GATGGACAGATCATCCAATGCTATATCACTCCGGAAATCTTCACCTCTCATACCCTCTAGGATAATCTAGGGAGAATTGATTTCCAGATTTAGCTGCAGTCATACACGGAGATCACCATTTCACTGTATGATCCATCTCAGAGGGCCATGAGGATGCCCTGCCCTACCTTCATGTTTCCTGTGCTTTGCACTGTGACTTGTCCCAAGTTCCATCTGTCCCCGTGATTTCCAGTCTCTTTCCATTCCAGGACTGATGTTTCGTTGTGAACTACATACACTCGCAGGGCCATTGTTTCAGCCACTCCGTACATGTGATACCAGAAGCGGAAGCAGTGCGGTCCTTCTGAATTGCATATTGGACTGACCAAGCGGGCTACATCACTTTCTTTGTTCTCATTCCCTTGCAGGTAGATATAATAGCCATCTGGAATCAGAAGAGTGCCAGTGTCAAATATATTGACCCAAAGGAATAAAAAAATTCTCCTTTCTCTTTTTTTTGTGTAGGTGCCATTTCTGGCTTACACCAATTAAGCAGCCTTCCCTGTGATACTCCAAGCTGAGCATTGTCTTATTCAGAATGGATTATGTCTACACAGCACTGGCCAATCAGCGAGTCAGACTAACAATACACTATTTCTTCATTTCCCATCTCCAGTCCCCAGAAGGGTTTTCCAGAGATTACACTGGTGTCCTACTTAGGAAAAGACAAGCCTCCCAAAAGAAGGACCCTATACTGAAGTCATCTTTTCTGAAGCTGGATATGCCTTGTCTGAAACCTCTTCCCCGAAAAGTATAGAAATAGTCACTCAATGCATCTTCTGCACATTTCATCCACCCCCACACAGATTCCTGGCTGCGCCAAAAACTCTGAATCAAGCCCAGGAAACACAAGCCCTGTATTTCCTATATGAAGAGTCTGCTTGCCCTCTTTCCAGGAAGAGCTCCCCAACTGAAGCCATGCACTTGCTCTTTTTCCTACCGCCTGTCGTGTGGTCATAGGAAGGGCCGGTATCTGGTGAGGGTGTTGCCCCCTTGTGCCTTATCCAGTCGAAATCATCATTGGCTGCCTGTTCCCACTCACAGAAGTCGACCTCAAATGTGCAGGACAAATTGCAAGCAGTTGGGGCAGCTGCATGTGATATAGGAAGAAAAAGCAGAATTTCCACATTGAGGTTTAGAAATCTCTCCTTGCTCTGACCATGCTCTTCTACTTGCCACCCACATCCATGGACAAAAAATGTAGGTGCTTCAATGGAATTAATAGACAGTAACAGTACAGATGAACTCATTTTGAAATATAAAATTGTGTTTGTGAGAATGTATCTTATACTACCTGTCCATTCCTCAGTTGTCATCATAATGTCACTAATATACTGTATTTTTACACTGTGCCACGGCCCTGTTTATTGAGCAAATTGCTCAAAGCTGTTCTGTTTGGTTCGGTGGGTATTTAATTTGTTCTCAAAAGGCTACTGGGATGGAAATCAAGGATTCATAATAAGAAATGGTCTCCTATTTCATTTTATTCCTTAAAAACAAGAATGAGAAGTATTGCCTCAGCATTGGAAAGAGGTCATGGGATGTATTTTCCTGTTATAACCTCATATTTAGGCTGCCTTTTTTGCTGGTTTTGGTAATGATCTCTACTAGTTGTGGAAGAAACAATTGCTTAGAGCCAATTTTGTCTCTGTGTTAACTAGTCCATTAAGATTTTAAGCGCCTGATAGTGTTACCACTTGAAGATAACATACAGCTCAAATTGCAGGATTCTCCCTTACTAATTTTAAAAGCTCTAGTTTATATGATGCTGAAGTTATTTCAAACACTCAGTGAAAACCTGGAGCTGTAGACAGGTTGCATAAATGTTGGTTAACACTTTTCAAAAGATAAAATAGTTTATTAAAGCCAAAGTGTAAATTCATTAGACCAAGTTCTCAATTGTCCTAGCCTGAGCCCTTGATTGTGTCTGTTATCTTTCATGATCCAATTCTGAACAAAAGACTTAAGTCAAAAACGTTGAAACTTCTTGACCTAAAACGAATATTGAAAGACCATGATTAGCACCCAAGGTGAGCTGTCTGATTTCCTGAGCTGCTAAGCATTTGACTTTCCTACATCTTCCCTGAATCACCTTTTCTGAAATTCTCTTCAACTTTTCGGTCACCTGAGTTTATATTTGTAGTATAAAGTTATTTGATAAATGACCCCGTGACTTACCACAGATGGTGTCTTTTCTCCAGTCACCCAGATTTACACCTCCAAGTTCACAGGCAGCAGCATACGCCTCTAAAATTTTGCAAAACTGTTCAGAATTTCCCTCTGTAGCACACAGATCATAGACACAGCTCTCGAAGTAGAGCTGAGGAGGAATGTACCAATGACAGACTTCAAAAGGCCCACTACTATTCAAAATGGTTTTGCAGAGTTCTTCATATTCTTTCTCTTTCACTGCATCACAGGTGGGTGGTACAACAGCAATCGGATTACACCTGCATCAAAAATAGACAGCAACTTGGTAATACACTAAATATTTATATTTTACTATACAATAAATGTTATGACTACAAAATACACCTCAACAGTCATGAAACCCTATGCCAAAATTCTGAGATACACTATGTATTCTGACCTTTAGTTTATCAGACCAGAAACTCAGAATAATTACAATTAGACTCATAATTCCCCAGTAAAAATATAATAGTGACCTGTTGATATATGACCAGCTATTTAGCACTGGAAAAATAACTTAAATTCACCATTGCATATAGTAAAAGCAGTATTTTGTATATGACAGTATTAATAGACAGAGAAAAGACCTTTGGCTCTCTTCATCAATGTGGAGTTATCTCAGGAGTTGAACTTGTGATACATATTTAGCTTTCTCATAGTTGCCAGAAATATTTTAGAATGGAAAAATAAGAAAAAAATCAAGTTAATATGCAAAATGAAGCCAAATTCTGATTAAAATATACAATGTTCGTATAGAAAATATATGAATAGTAATTTTAAAATTTCTATGCTTTCTTTTGAAGTGCAGTGTCACTCAAAGACGAAAGTGCTGGAAAACAAGTATTATCAAGGAAAGGTTTCTATAGAACATAAATCAATGCATATTAATCCTTCATCTTGAAGCTTCATGTTTCAGCTTTTTGCTATTTGCTCTAATATATCAGATACTCACATCCAGCTATCATCTTTTACTGCCCAGCTGTCACCAAATTTATTTGGATCCTGTTCCAGGACTTTATCTGGTTTTAGGAAATCATCCAGCTGGTTGTCAGTGTATGTCCCACACAGACCACACAGCTTTCCTTTGAGACTTTCATCAGCCTGAATAAAAAGCTCCTGGTCACCATCAAACTTCACCTGGATCCCTACAGAGGTATCAATGACCACATAGCGTTCCTTTAACATTACTCTAGTTCCATGTTTCAAATCCACAGGAGGATGAACCTGGACTCCATTCACCTAAAGAAAATAAAAAACCCCACACAAACACAGAAGTCAACAAGGCTTCCAGGAACAAAGTAGATATCCACAAAGTGAATAGTATAGCTTCTATCACCAAGTCTGATTCTAGTGAGTAATATACACACAGCAGTTTGAAGCTTAACAGAGCCTAATCAGATGTATACTTATCCCATCTTGGGTAGGAGTATGTAGCACAAGCTGAGCTCCATGTTGTCAAAACTACACAAATAGCAATACTTTGAATAGCTTGTTTAAATGAGTCTGAGAGTGTATGGCAAAAATGCTGTTTCAATTTTAAAGAGTAGATCTGTAAAACTCAGAATTATATTTAGTTCAGCAGTGTATTTCTATTATTGATGCAGATATTGTTTTTTTCTACAGCCTAATGCTGAGAAGATTTGAAGGGACAGAAGGAAGCTATACTGATCCAAGCCTTCTTAAAAACACATTTCTATGCTCTCTGGTATGTGCAGTCTTGGAGGTTTAAAAAAAAATCAGAGAACTTTGATACAGTTCTGTGAGACAGAAAAAGGCAATGCACAGCTGCAATAGATTGTTTGTCTTTAAAGTATAGTACTTACATAGGTCTCCTTGTTTTTCTTCACAACAATGTGAAGATCTTTCAGTGTGAAAGCAATGGAGTTCAAGGCTGTCCAGTTTGGATTTCCTCTATGTTCATTTCTGGATGTCACTGAAAACCACTCAGAAGAATTTGTGCAGGTCTCAACAACTGTATAATTGCAGTCTCCTTGGAAATGATACAGTCTGCCATCAAAGGTTATATAATGTGGATCCCCAAAAATGTGGCAGGTGCTAGGATTCAATGGATAACATCCCAAAAGTCCATTCTGCACCTTGCAAACTTCGCTTACTTGGCATGTGTCTGAATTGCAAAATAAAGTGTTATTTCCAGAACATAGACATTGGCCTGCACAGTTTGTCTGCCAAAAAGTTTCTCCTTTCTGTTGGAAACAACAAAACAAAACCAAAAAGAGTTAAAAACAGCTAATGTTATTGGAAAGCTGTGAAATAAGTCCCTGAAATAAGTGCCAGAACGAACCTCATAATATTTTTCATTGTGAAGGCAGCCACAGTTGCTCATGGACACACAATGTCCACCACTGATGACAAAACCAGTGTTACATTCACACCCTTCCACACAAGGTCGACTGCAGTTCTTAGGTGCAAGAGGGTCAAGGCAAGTTGCAGGACAAGCACCAGTACATGGGTTGTAATGACTATTGGAAGGGCATGCAACAGCTGAAAAACAAGAAAAGGCTCTGAAGTGATGAACACAACTCATACGAAAGCACCATACAAAAATCAGATTATTTTGAACTAGTGACAGTGTTTCTTCAGAAATTTCTTTGGAGACTGAAATTCCCTATCTTATTTGGATACAACTTAAAAAAGAGAAAAAAACAACATGAGAAAGGCATGAATGTTTAAAATATATGCTCTGGCTGCTAAGCACATTCGACTCCAAGTAAAACTAAGTCTCTTTACACCATATCAAATATTTAGCTGGTACATTTATAAAAGTCGATGGGCTGCTAAAGTCATTGTATGTGCAAAGATGTATGAAAGCCAAATATCCAATATAAGTGAAGTGAAACAACAATGTCAGGAATCCACAGCTATCCTTCTGCATATTTTCTTAAAAAAAAAAAAAAAAAAAAAGAACATGCACCTTCCATGCCCTCTGCAGGAAAAATATCATGCTGTAAATATTACAGATTATTATCCCTCGATATTTTGAGTGCAAATGTATATGAAAAATTTCAAAGCTCTGGGTTAGGTGAGGTATTGAAAGCAACTTGCTCAGACTACAATAGAGCAATTCAAAAAGTCTATTTGCAAAATAAACTCACGGCAGAAGGTGGCATTCCTCCAGGGCAGAAGAGTCACGCCTGCTCCCTGGCACGCGGCAGCATAGGCCTCCAGAGCAGCGCACAGCACCTCCTGCCCACCGCTCAGGGCACAAAGGTCGTACAAGCACGCATCAAAGTAGCTCTGCGGGTTGATCACGGCATGGCAGTTCTCAAAGGAGCCCGGCCTGGCGGTCAGCAGGCCGCAGAAGACGTCCGACTGGTAGAGCTCCTCCTCTTCAGAGTTGCAGGGTTCAGGCTCCTCGGGTACACGGCAGTAGAGGTCATCGTCCCCACTGGGGACCTTCCAGCTCTCTCCCAGCTCGTTGGAGTTGGCGGCTTGCTGCCCATTGGGCATCATGTAGTCGTCCTGTTGCAGGCTGTTGAAGTTCCCGCACAGGCCACACGTCAGGTTGAAGTAGGTTGTGGGCACCTTCACCTCCACCGAGTGGTCGGCGTCATAGGACACTGTCAGGCCGAAGTCCGTCTCCAGCACGATGTAGAGGCCGCTCACGCTCACTCTGATGGCGCCTCCCGCTGCGCTCACCGGCAGGGTCCGGCGCTCCCCGTTCACCTAGGGCAGACACAACCCAATGGGCCCTTGCACACAGCCTCCATGAGGCCTCCCTCACGCGGCAAACAGGCCCCAGAACCTGCCATGGCACACCGGTGCCCACGCGCCCCTCACACGCACGCGCCTCTCACGCTTGGCCAGCCCTGCCCTTTCCTGCCCTGCGCGAGACCTCTGCTCTTCACTGGCCACATTCCCTCTCCCCTTCTTCCTCCTACAGCCCTTCCACAATGCAAACACCAGGGAGACAGTGCCCCAGTGCTCTGGGGGGAGCCCACCCACACCTGAGACCAAAGAGTCCAGTTCGGGCAAGAGCCTGCCAAGAAAAGCCACCTGCCCCTGGCCGACACACCACCCTCTGGCCAGCCCTGCTCCCTACCAGCACTTGGCTCCGCTCGTTCTTGACAATCGCAATGCGTTCTCCGTACACCTCCACCAGGACTTCACGCACGTAGGACACCGTGGGGTTGCCACGCTGCTCGTTCTTGGCCTCAATATTGAAGTAGGGCAGCGAGGTGCCATTGGAGCACACTTTGGCCAGAGTGTAGGTGCAGTTGCCCATGAAGTCGTGCGTCACACTGTCAAAGGTGTTGTAGTGAGGGTCCCCGTGGATGTGGCAGATGCCGTAAGAGTACGGCAAGCAGTCGGGTTTCCCGTTCTGCACCCCACAGTACTGGTCTGCCGGGCACGAGGCATCGGAGCACTGCACTTTGCTCCCGCGCCCTGGACACGTGCACTTGGAGGAGCAGGTGTTGTCCGTCCAGAACTCCGAGTTCACGGGGTAGTGCTGCCCGTTGTGCCAACAGCCGCACTGCTGGCTGGGCACGCAGCGGTCATTGTAGAGCAGGTACCCGCTGTCACACACGCAGCCCTCCACGCACGGCAGGCCACAGCTGTAGGGCGCTGTTGGGTCAACACAGGTAGCTGGGCACGCTGCTGCGCATGACTCGTAGTGGCTGTTGGCTAGGCAGGCCGGTGCTGTATAATGAAATAAAATTTCCTTTATTAATCCTTTTTTATGCATTTCACTTACAGATCTGTTTTTTAATTCTATTTATAGTAATTCCTTAATTCATACTTTTTCAATTCATCAATATTTGTAATATGTGTTAAATAATCAGGGTTTGTTATTTCTCTGCTATATTCTTAGATTGCTACACATAAATAGAAAAATGGCAGTCTAATTAGAGCCTTTAAACACATGAATTTTCAGGTGAGAAGTTTTCAGGACTGAAGTTGTGTGAATAATCCTCATTCAGCTTTTATGTATGTATACATTGCTGCTCCATTTTAATATCATATTTTAGGTCTATTTTTACCCTGCTGCCCCAAGGAGGAAGTGCTCAAACAGTTACTTTGCACTTTTCTACATCTATTCCCCTATTTATGAAATTGACCCAGCTGACTTATTGCAAACAATTCTTCAAGGTGAGTAGGGGACAAAAATATAATTCAAGTCCAAAAAATGAAATAGAAGCAAGGCAAAGAGGAGAGATTCTGCAAGCTCCTTCAGCAGAAAGGACAGCTGCAAAGTACTCACTGCTGCTTAGACACCCAATATGGGAAAAAAGAACCTTAATAATGTCCCCAGCAGAGAAACTGTTCCAGCTGAAAATTACAATCATGAAAAAAAATCCAAAAGAAATCAGGCTTCTTTTATTCCAGACTGCTTACAGAGCAGTCTCTTTCTGCAGGTTCCCCATCTACTTCAGGGCACAGAGCATATAAGACACTGCAGTGCACTAAATCAATATTTCAAGTTCTCTGCATCACTCCTGGTGTGAGCAATTCTGCTCAGGACTTTTTACCAGAGAGTATTTAAATCCTGTCTAAAGATAGGGTGATTTTTTTTTTCCTGTAACATGTGCCTGAATACTTGATGAATGTTCTTTATCTTTAATAATATTCACACAAGGAGGGTCTTTGCTTCCATCTCACTTTAACCACATTACTTCAAACCTGCCCATTACTTCAAGACCTGACATCTCTCTTGTATTTGTCTCTCTCTGTCTCTTCCCCACCCTCGTTTCTGCATCCTCCATTCCCAGTAGCATGGAAACAATCTCTGTTTCACAGGCTTCTCACTTCTGTCCTGACCTTGCATTCCATGACTGTGTTTGTGTCCCCTCCTCTCCCATCTGAATTCACCAGTCATCATGCCTGTTCAGGACATCTCTGATGCTTTCCCCCAGATCCATAGGGACAAATATCTTACATTCCCTCTCCTTTTACACAGAGGGAAATGAAAGCTGGTGCCAGTAACAGTGTTTCCAATCATCCACTCTGTGGGATAGTAAGGCTGGGTTCATCAGAGAGAGCATCTCAACTTCCCCTGAGAGACACCGGGCGAAGCTCTCAAATGCCTAGTAGGCAATTGCAAAATGATGGGTTTTTTTTCTCCTTAAAGATACTAAAGCTTGAGCACATCTCTCTCAGAATATAAAATACTCTCTAGACAAATGTCCTTGGCATAGTTAATACCACAGAACGAAAGTAAAGGGACACTAGAGAAATTCAAATGAAAAGCCCACAATTCCATTTTAAAATAGGCTAGACAGTATGAATTCCTTTCCTCCAACCTCCTATTCTGGTTGAAGTTTGCTAAAGAACTAAAACTGAGGCATATAACTACTGCTGAAATTGCTAGCTTCATCAATCAAGATTCACCATGTGTGAATTCAAAACAATATCTTGTAATGTTCAGGTAGTCCAAATTCTGTCTTCCTGAAGTAATTTCAATTTATCTTTGATACATACGGCAGAAGGTTGCATTTCTCCATGACTTCAGAAGAACTCCTGCACTTTGGCATACATCTGCATAGGCCTGCAGGTTTTGACAGAGTGCTGCGTCATTCAGATGAAGTTCACACAGATCATACTGGCAAGCTTCAGAATAACTCTGTGGATCAATTACTGAGTGGCAGTTCTGGAATGGACCCTCAGGATCAGTGATTAGGCCACAGTATTCATTACTTTGGATCATTTGTTTTTCATCAGTAGTGCAATTTGGAGTATGACCATCATCTGGCACGCACCTAGTGGAAAAAAAGATGTGGAAAAATTCACTGATGAACTTTGCATGCACAAATATTCAAGACTGAAATCATACTTAATAATAGAGCTGGCTGCAAGCTAAGCATGACATATTTGAAAGTTGTACTTCTCCAACAGTTAAGACAGAGGCTCAGATTTTAATATGATTTCACCCTTATAACTTTTGAGTAGCTTGAAAGAAACCTAAATTTTAATTTTGGTTTTCTTTTAAGTCTAAAAACAAGTTTTGCACATAGAAAGTATTTAGGAAGGACAAGCGAGAAGTAAAAACATTTTTATTTAAACATCTATGATCATTTCATAATATATTGTTAAATTATAAAACAAACAATATCTCTAAACCAGATTGAAATCCTAGGGGAAGATGTTTTATTCAATTTTTCTTTTTGGCACAGTTGAAGGTGCTGTGAAATTTTATCCAGACAAATGAAGTAAGTAAAAGCTCAGAAGAGTATGTGGATGACATTTTTGGCCCACATACAATAGTTGCTTAAAATATTGCTCATTATATAGCAATCATCTAAGGGCTGATATCATTATTAGAGTCCTACCTGGAATCATTGTAAACCTGCCAGCTGTTTCCAAGATTGACCGAGTTTGTTTCCATCTCTCCATCTGGGTTAAGGAAGTCATCTGCTTTGTGTCCATTATAATTCCCACAAATTCCACAGACTTTAGACATGTAGGTGCTGGGAAGAGTGATTTCTGCTCTGTGATCTCCATCAAACTTGACCATCAGTCCAAAATCAGTAGTAACCACAACATACTGCCCACTGATAGAAATACTGACACTGTGTACCAGGGTCACAGGAAGCACCTGGCTGACTCCATCAACCTGCAGGCACAGGGAGAGACAATCTTCATATTGGCTTTAAAAGAAGTGTTTTCATGATAAGCCTTTCAGATCATATCCCTTCATTGAGCTTAAGCCTTGCACAATGAGCCTGTAAAAGCAGTAAGAACACTAATTGCCTTTTCTAAGTCTTGTTTAATATATATAGCATATATGGGCATACAAACTAGGGGCTCAGGACCACACTAATGGAGCTATACAGCTTTCCAGTTCCAAAAGGAATGTGGTCAAAATGAACTGGTGTCTGCACAGAACATGGGCTTGGTGAATTCACCCACCTGACAAAGGACTGATACTTAGCATGGTCTGTCTGCATTATCTTATCTGCTTACATAAGTTTTTTTCTTCTTTTTCTTTTTTAATTCTGAGCAAGCAAGCACATGATGTAAGTTTCAAAAAATGTGAACTAGCATGAATAATCAGAAAAATTTTAGCATTAGACAAATCTTGAGAAGGCTTTCTCTTTTTAGTTTTCCTATTTTTCTTTTTTCTTTTCTTCTTCAGATATAAAATTTCAGACAATAGAAAGAAAAACTGCCTAAGTAGAAGTCTACATATAGTTTTACATACATGTACATACAAACATATTCATACACAAGGTAACATACAATAAAATTAACATATACTTTCATGCATGCATATTTATTGTTACTACATATATAGGTAGGTAGAAACATAAATAATGAGACCATGAGGAAATACAAAGGCAAGATATAAAAAAGAAACAGCTGGAAAAACATGCATATCAATTTCACTGTGTTTCTAAGACCAGATAAGAAAGTTGCTATTATGCGTTTGAACTTCTGTCTCCTGTTGCATAAATCACAGCACTACTTTCTTATAAGAAGGGCAGTATTGAAATAAAGTGTTCTATTCACTTATTGTATGTTTTGAATCAAAAACCTATCACCCGCCAGGCCCTTTATACTGTGGAAAAGAGCCACAAAGAAATGTTAAAAACACAATGATGGCTCAAACAACACAATCAGTATATGGAAAGTAATCAGATTGTCCACTGGGGACTCTCTCATCTACTCCTCCTTTACTGGAAGTGGTAGGTGTTAAGCAATGTTATCGGTGATGAGCAATAACTAGATATCAGGGATGAGCATGCAGCTTTGCAAGCCATCTTACAGGATCAGGAAATAATCACCAGCACAGACAGGAAGAGGTACATGCCTCTCTCTTCCCTGCTGCAGACCATGCTTGGAGGTGGGACCAAGTTAGAAAGACAGGATAACCCACCAACTCTATTTGGAGTGTTAGTTGTAGTGCACAAAATTAGCCTGTGTTTTCAGTTATAAAATCCCATTGCTTTCTTTATAAGACTCCATACTACTCCTACACCTAGCTATCTGATTCCCCCCTAAACATCACGGAGTGTTCACTGGAAATTTATACCCAGTGTACTACAAGTTCTACATTCACAGTAGAAGTCACTGATGAAATACAGTGGGCTCCAACCTTACCGTAACAACTCTGTTTTGACCCAGATTGATCCTGAAGCCATAGACATCGATGTCCACGTATCGAACATAGGACACACGCGTGTTGCTTCCCCTGTACTCGTTGGCTGCTTCCACATTGAAGTAGGGCAGGGAGCTGTTGCTCTCACACAGCTTGGAGAGGGTGTAGGTGCAGGTGCCCATGAAATCATGACGCTGCTTGTCGAATGTGTAATAGTGAGGGTCCCCATATATACTGCAAATTGCTTTTAGAGACGTGAAAAAGGAAGGTGTTCTTGTTAATACAGGAGTGCATCTAGAGAAGCCACTTCCTATTTTTACTATGCAGTAGCAAAATATGGTCATCCCTATTTTGCATATCACATGTGGGAGAACTGAAGCAATGTCAAGTTTACATAGCATAGAACAATGGTAGACATACCCAGATAAATTAATTGGACTAAGCAAGTAGCGCTATTAGAAAAAACCTCAGGTGCTCTTCTACAATGCATTGGCTAGCATAGGTGTTTAGCTAAAATTACCTGTCACTGGAAGGATCACTGGAGGTATTGTTGGTGTAGATGTTGGTGGCGCAGGAGTGGAAACTGCACCTGTTGGTAGAAAAGACGGGGCAATACAATGAGTTATAACATTAAGGAGTACATACTATGTACTCACCAACATATGTGAATTTCTGCATACTCTTTACCAGCTTAAATTGGGAGGGTTTTTTAGTGATGAAAATGGAATTGCCTCTGTATAAAAATAAGCATTTGAGGAAATATTCTCTTCAGTTCTTAGAGGAGCTTGTCTGACTGTTGCCTGGGTGACAGTAACCGAGCTTGTCCTTGCATGCTTCCCTGAAGCTGGAAATGTATGTACAATTGGATATGTGATTTCCTCTGCTGTGTACATTAAGGCAGTGAAGGTCATACACTCTGCAAGTGTTGACAGGACAGGGAATGAGTAGTCTGCCAGCAGGTGTGACACAGCAGAACCAAATGACTCTCAGGGCAATGGTATTTTTTAATTAGAAAGGTCTGTTATTTCTTCAAAAAGATTTTTATTTCTTTGGAAAATGAGAGCTTTAAGAGCTTCCTCGTGACAGACACAATGAACAGTGGCATTGTGGAGAATTTGCTGATGCCTACACATTCTGCTTGCCTACACATTCTATCATCTTCTGCACCTATTATTCATCCACCAGAAAATGCATGTATGAACTAGCTGAACCAAGGTAGGTAGGCATGTTCTTGATGCCATACACATTCCATTGATGACTTCTGAATACCTGGGAATCTGTGTCTCTGGAAATACAACAAGCTGATCAAAACCTTCGGAGCATGAAAAATTCCTGCTCCTTCACAAAACAAACAACAGCTATCTCCATTCAGCTACTCTCCCATCACATCCTGTGAGACCTCCACTGAGGACTGAATGTTTGATACCACTTGTTGTACGAGAAGTGCAGCTTGTACAACTGCTTCTTACATGCCCACTTCTTCACATCCATCTCCCTGCATCCATCTCCCACCTCAGATTTTGCACATTCAGCACAAAATTGTGCCTTTAGCTTTTTAAAAATAGGAAAAATTAGAGGAATTCTGAAAACAACTGTATGCTCAAAGGGATACTTCTCAACAGGCTCGAAGGTAACTTTTTGTAAGGATAAGAAAAAACACAGAAGAAACTTATTCCTATAACTCCTGCCCCTCGAGATGTAAGATGAGAAATTTCTGCTAATGACAACATGAACAGCAGCATAATAACTGAAAGACTGCCTGTTAAAGTTGTCTTGAAAATTACTTTTTCATCTAAGAAACAGGCGCTTATTTGTTTATTCATATATTTGATTAAAAATACCATTCAATCAAACATTCTCATGGAAACAAAAGGGTTAGGAGGAATTTGATTTTCATCAGAGCCTATAATCCACTTAATTTTCTTTTTATTAGTAGTCATACAGTTGAGTAGAGACAGGAGCACCTTTCTCTTGTATCTTGGGATTACATTAGTGCACCATCCAGTGGCTGAATCATGTGCTGATGTGCCTGGGAACACTAAGTACTGTCTCTACCTGGACCTAAAAATAACCTCCAGGTATTTTTTTTCATAGAATTTCAAAGAAAAAGATATATTCTGAGAGTTTGGCCCTGAATGGAACTCTTCATTCTCCCATGAACCTCATTAGTGTGAACTTGAGACATTTATTGCCTGTATACAAACAGGGCTTCACAAAGAGAAGTGGTTTCTATTAAGACATAAAGACATTTCCTATATTACATTCAGCAAGCCTCTTGCACAACTCAGATTTTAAGTGTTGTGTGAATAGCACTAAATAATCTGAAACTGTAGTTCACTCCTAGATCCTAGCCATCTACAGCCACGACAGTCTTGGCTGGTTTGTTAGAGGGGCAGACCAAGCTCAAATTGCAGATTCACAGAGTCAGTGGTAGACCTCAGTTTTATTGCCTGGCGGTTATTTCTCTGTGTGGCATATAGCAGTGTTTTGTGTTTGCTGAACTCATATGGATAGAGAGTTGCTGTTAAATGTTGAGCATTTAACTTGGAAGCCAAAAACACTGTGTATAGACTTGGTTAAGTTTAGAGATACACTGCAAACTCAAAAGGGAAGTAAAGCTTGCTAGAACTCTTGAAAATGAACACTTTTCAGAGAAGGAAATGTCTTACTCCAACCACATTTGTGATGATGAGGAAAGATTTGGGAAGAAACTCAGAGAAAATAGAAAACATTCTAATGATAGATGTTGGATCTATAAATGTTGTTGTGTCAAATGTTGTGCTGCTTTTTTTTTGAGACTTGGAGTTGTGAGAATTTTTTACTGTGTGAAATTGAATGATTGTCAACATCTTAAACAGGGATGAGTAAAAGGTGTGCACTATGATTTGCGTAGACTCACCACAGAACCCATCCCTTACTCCCACGTTGTCCAGTGCTGTGTCCCCATACTCTGTCAGTCCCCGGACAGCTTCAAAAATGACCTAGGCAGGAAGCAAAGTGAGCTGTTCAGGCCAATGCACATTTTCAGCATATTTTCAAAATTTCCTTGTTAGTGTGCCTCCAAAGACATCAAAGAAGCTGAGGGTGGAATAGATTTCCTGACTTTCTTTAGAAGGTAAAAAAAAAAATCTGTAATAAGGTAAAGACTTGAGGAAACACTGTCCTCTATTTTGCTGGCTGATAAATGACCTGTGAGGATTATTTTTCTGAAATCTACAAAGGAGTCCAATGCAGGCAGCATCCCAAAGTTTAAATCTTAACTCACAGCAAAACAAGATGCATTTGATTACGGCAAAATCCATGATGTCATGATAAAATGAGAAAGTAAAAAGAGAAAGCATAAAGTACATAAGTAAGTAGAAAGAATAAGCATATTTTACCCTCTGAGTAATAGCACCAGTGAAACTCAGAGGGTTGTTTCTTTCTTATCTCAGTTCATTGGCATAGAGTATGAGGCTACTATGTTTGCAAAATGTAAACAAAGAAAACCTTCGTTATATTTTTGGACTTATACGCACAACTCTTTACAGTCTGCAAAAAACTGACAAATTGTACATGTTAACAGTGCAAAAAGAAATTTATTCCAAAAATATATTACCTTTATTGTTCTCTGTGTTGAAAAATTATGAGTAACAGCACCATATATCCATGAGGAACTCTGATTTCCCTTCCGACTCCAAATGACAAATTCCCCTCCTGTATCTTGGATAAGCACTCTCAGCTCATTCAGGTCTTCTGACCCAAACATGTAGTACCAGAAGTCTATGCAAATATTTTCAGATACCACAATATATGGACTCTCAAGTCTGTTAGTGTCAAATGGGATCAGATTACTTGCTTCTTGATAGATGAAATAGCCATCTGCAAAGTGAAAAGTGTAAAAATACTGCTAAATCTTTGAATCCTGCTAAATGCCATTTAAAACTGAAGTACAACCCAACTCTGGAAGAAATCAAAAGCATCTTCAGAAATAAAGCTGTAGAAGAAAAACAGTACAAAGAAGCAAAGAATATGTTTGCAATTTGATGGTTAGCACAATGTAGTTAGCCAAAGTAGAACATGAGCTGCAGAGCAAAGCAAGCACGTCTGATCTTATACAAATAGCTATTTTGGGCTCACAAATAAAGATGTAGGTCTCTTCCAAGAGACACAATCTCCTGCTACATTGCTCCTTTGATCCATATTCATTTTCCTCTTTCCTTAAAGGAAAATCATGCAATCTACTGTACTTAGAGGATACATTAAAAAAAAATGGTCACGAGATGAGAAAATTCCTGGCAGAAGGAAAAAAAAACAACTCTTCCATATTTGTTTTCACCTCAAAATGGAAGGGATAGCAAGAAATACTGAATTTACTGCATAATGAAATGTGTAGAAAGAATTCAGCCCACCAAAATATTTGGTTTGATATTATCAAAAGGAATGAAGCTTTCCAAAATTCAGAAAAATGGAATGTTTCCTTTGAGAATGAGAAAATTACCTGTAACATGGTTCGAATTGATTCAATATGAGATTAATCAATTACTATAGAAAAAAAATGTTAAGATCTTTACTAAGTCTGAAGATTTTTGTGTTCCCACAAATTCTCTGGGCTAAGATCAAAATTAAATTCCCCCAGTATAGTTAAAAGTTAATTGTCTCTCACTTGACTGTGTAAAGGAATCAGAGAGAAATGAATGACCCCATGGCTCCTACATACCATCCAAAATCCAGTTGAATATTTTAGGATTTTTACTGGGGAAAATGCAAGAGGAGAGAGGGAAATGCAAGTAATCTTATGTTAAATGTTCTGTGTCCATTCAAAAATAAGCCATTTTTGTTCACATGAATCCAACTTGAAAGCATTTCAATTCTCTTCAACAAAGAATTTTTATGAGCAAAAATGCAGAAAATAATGTAACAGAAATTACTAATTAATAACTAATATATAACTAATTACTGAGCCTGACAGTTGCTTCCTTCCAATCTGGAGATAATTGTAAAAAGCAATATGACTGCCAACTGATCCCCCATTAATGGAGGGATATTAGTGCAGGACTAGTGGTTCAGACAAATAGGGATAGAGCTGTTTTAACCACTCTTTTGATGATATAATCACATTAGATGTCAGTTTTTTCAATCACATGTAGCTGAGGAATAGCTTTTTAAAAAATTTTGTTTTTTAATTTCAGACTTGATCTTGTAACACTCTTTGCCAATATGCATGTTATCTACTGTCAGCATCAGCAATCATTATGTTCATTGCCACTAACTGATATCAGTGTAATTTGGCCACGAAAACTCTCTTTAATAATAATCTGCTGCACATCACTGAATTCTCTGTAAGATATTAAGCATTCTTCAGCTTCCCTAGACTGGTAAAGGTTTCCAGTCCTCCAGTGCCTAGGGCAACCCAGTTATAATCATGCTATTTACATGGTGAAAAAGTCAGTCAGATGCTTGTAGGAAAGCAAACTGACACATATCAAGGGCTTCATGGATCTCATTAAACAAACAAACAAGCTTGTAAAGCTGTCTTCTGAAATCAGCCTCAGCTGAGCACTTACTTCCATCGGGATAGTCTCCACTGGGACCTGTTCCATCAGTTGGAGTGTCATGCTTGGTTCGTATCCAGAGCCCCTGGTTCACATTGCAAGGTTGGGTCCAGTCACAAAATGGCCTTGAATTGTTGTTAAAATCACATCTGGTGAGGTAAGCTGAAGCACAATACATTAACATAAGTAAGAGGAACAACTATGCTCAGAACCTGCCCAGGATGTTAGCAGCTCTAATGACACACAGTTACCTGCTTTAGGCTCCCATGTTCTCAAGCCACCAATTGGTCTTTGCTTGATCCTGCCAATAAAATATTACATAGTGAGGCCTCTGTGGATTTAGTGACTCAAAAATGCACAAGAAAGATTTTTTTAACAACATGTCCATAATGGAGATGTAGACTGTGAACACGAAAGGGACTTTGAGGGACTTGGGTGTTCTTACTGAATTAGTACCCAAACCCAGGGCTTCATAAATGTCTCACCCTCCGTCTTCCGGTCTGTCCTTACTTCTTCATGATAATACTTTAAGAATGACATAAACAATGGGTTATCTTCACTCCCTCTAAGGGTGAAAGGATCCTCTGCTCTGTGCCCCATTGAACTGAACAACAACTTTCCTAGACCAGGGGAGCTATGGGATGGCTGGCTGGAGTCAGCTCAGCCCAGACAATGCCAGTATAATAGCGAAGTGTTGCTATTAACATATCCGTGGCATTGTCATCCCCACTGTTGCAAAGCAAAGTAGGTAAGTGCCAGTAAAATGCTGCACCACACACATCTAATAGGCATTTGTTGAAAGGCTTCTATTTCCTGCAAATCTCTCACAACTCCAAGTTGTCATGTCATTCAGACCTGCCTCTAATTTACCCTGAAATCAATGCACAGCAAGGACAGTTATAACTGCAGAGATGTGCTGACACTAGACCATGGTATCACCAGAGCACACAGCATGGATGCGTGGCTGTTTGGGTGCTTTGTGTAGGTAAGAGATTTCCAGAATTGCAAGGCCACAGTAGTGGCTCTTCATACGCTCTGATGGCAACTCCACAGCACCAGGAGTCAGGGTGCAGTTCAGTCTCTGGTGACACCCTCCCTAACTCTCCTTACTGTACTTGTACTGTCTGTAAGTGAAGGCATCACTGTGATTATCTGCACTACCCCTCAAAATCTGAACCATGATATTCAGAGAAACTGCGCTTAGGAATGAATATCACACAAACAAAAACTATTTCATCAATACCATGCACAAAGTGACTGGAAAGCAGACTGAGTGAAAGCTAAGGAGGAGAGAAGGGCTGAAGGCAAATCAACCAAGGAAATTTTCTTTACTGTTTTTTCTTGGATTTCTTCCTCCATGAGAAACAGCAAGCTGTGACAACATTGCCATTTAGGCTCTACTCAGTTCTCTCTTTAAGCTGTTACACACCAGATCAAAGGAACACAAGTTACACACAAGTCCAGAGGAATGTATACTACTGTACCTATAATCACAGAATGAAAAAATATTTGATAACCACAGTAGATATTTTGGGCAGATCTCTCCCTTTCAGATGTGCCATTAGAAACCCATATTTGTTAGAGATTTCTCTCATAGCCAGAAGCCAGCTCAGAATTAGGTGACAAAAATCTAAATTATTTCTCTGTTATAAAAATTACATGGTTCAATTGTACAGTAGCCCACATATCTAAAATAAAGAAAAAATAATTATCTTTAACATTAACTAAGCTTCCTGAATTAAAGTACATTCAGAATTGTGCTACTTACCCTGTGGTATCCCGCACTGAAATACACAATAGAATTAAAATGCATTGTAAGTGCCAAAGTGTCCCCATGCTAGAAGACAGAAGAAACTCTGTGCGGTAGACTCTGCATAGTAATCCACCAGCTTCACTCAGCAAGAGGAAAATGAGGGCGACCTACAGTGAAACAGAAGACTATATTGACCAGAGGGTGGAGACGATCATAAAAATCGATTAAACTATGTGTCAGTACTGCTCCCTAGGTTATCTACCTCAAGAAAGCACATATTAGCAGAAAATATTTTCTGCGTCACATGCTTTGACATCCTTTATTGTGTGCTGAAGAAATCAGTTCGAATTTGCTTATTTTTGATGTTGCTGCTGTGTATTTAAAAGGTCTATTTTTAAATGGATTTTTTCCACATTGATGGGAAGAAAACTCACCTCATTTTTACTTCATGGTGGTTGGTTTGCTTTATGCATTGAAGTGTGATTTCTTTTATGCACCGAATTTTCTCTCATTCTGAAGCTAACACTCAGCAGAGCAACAGTTTTCAAGATTCATATTGTATTCAGTATCCATACTGAATATTTCAACACTCATAGCTGTCCTCTTGTCTTTGGCACAATTCAGAAGTGTTCTGAAACATTGCTTCTACTTTGCCCCTGTTTTGGATGGTTACATGAAGGATCATTTTCAGAGCTGAGCAGAGATAAAGCGTCCGTGGGTTCTGATCACAGATAAAGCAGTCTGATCATTCCCACTGCCTCCTAGAGCTTTGCCATTTGGTTCTTTTTGCAGCATCCGTTGCATTGGGGTCTGCAGAGAGACATCTCTAACACAGGCAGATTCCCTACTACATCTAGGTTTCACAGGTGGTGAGTAGCAGAGGAGTATCAGGTGTACAGCGCTTTCTGTATTGCCTGGAAAACCCTGTTTTGTTTAAAATGAGGGTGGATCTGAGAGTAGAGGTTCTTAGAAAAAACTGCCTCTCAGTTGTAGCCACTTTCCTTTTGTGATTGTGTTCTGGTGGTTAATGTCATTGAAAATTTTTTAAGGTCATGCAGACACTTAAAATTAAAGTGTCTT